CACACTGGATTACTGCACAGATCTGGAAGAAATACACAAAGCTCACCAAGATTCAAGGAATAATAGTCTAGTTGAGCTTTAAAGTGTCTGTACAGCCCAAACGTTTTGGGGGGGGTTTGTGTTGAGTAGGTGAGGGTTAGAACTTCTGTCAGTTTTGTCTGTGTAACATTGGGGAGATTTCTGTTCACTTCCTGTACCAGAGGCTCAACAGGAAGTTGGAGGAAATCTTGCAAAGTGAGGGGAATTCCCCTCTGAGACAGCTGTGCCCATGGTGTCCCCATTGGAAGGTTTTTTACTCACCTCTTCTTCTGGGGACAACTCTAAAATTTTGGATTTTGCCCCTCACTTTCTTTCTAGACCCGTAGTCACATCATTCCAAAATCTTTTTTGTTCTTAACCTGAAGAATGAAAACTAAAGTGGCCCCCACATCTGAGGACTGGTAAGCTGCAATAGATTCGACTTTTGGTTTTGGGTTTGGATACACTTTTTAATCATTTTCGTTGTCATCCGTCCAGATGACAGGTCCTCTTGGGCTCAGCGGAACCATTTCCATCTGTTTTACAGTCGAGGCTCCAGATCTGATAACTTGGAACTGTCATCCTGCGCACATGGGGTGAAACGGTTTCCAGTTTTCTGATGAGTCTTGGAACGTTATGGAGCTTTGCAGTCAGAGTTGTGTTCATGGCCAAGATTCATCTGTGTAGCGTGTGTTGAACTGGCCTCCTGTGGCCTTCATCAGAAGCCCTTGTGGCAGGGTGACAACACAGGGGGACCATTTGGGTGCCAGGGACAGAGTGTTGTCACCGTGTAACAGGAAGTGCTATAACGAAGACCTTTATGGCAGGATCACTGATGATAATTTTCAGGTTTTCAGATATTGAAAATGTTTGTTGAAATGAAATGAATATGTTGAAGCTTCTATGAGATTTTGGTGATTGAGTTCATGTTAACTTTAAATAGGTTCTGCATATGACAGCAGTCTCATTCTCTATTGTCAGATTTCATACTCAGAAGCAGAGTGTCTTTCTTATACGGGGGGGTTGGGGAGCCCCTCCAGAGACGCACTCCCCCTCTCCTCTCTCCCCTTCTCCGCTCTCCTCTTCTCCGCACTCCCCTTCTCCGCACTCCCCTTCTCCGCACTCCCCTTCTCCGCTCTCCCCTTCTCCGCTCTGCCCTTTTCCGCTCTCCCCTTCTCCCCTCTTCCCTTCTACGCACTTCCCTTCTCCACACTCCCCTTCTCCGCTCTCCCCTCCTCCCCTCTCCCCTTTTCCCCTCTCCCCTTCTCCTCTCTCCCCTCTCCCCTTCTACTCTCTCCCCTTCTCTGCACTCCCCTTCTCCTCCCTCCCCTCTCCCCTTCTACTCTCTCCCCTTCTCCTCTCTCCTCTTCCCCTCTCTCCCCTTCTCCTCTCTCCCCTTCTCCTCTCTCCCCTCTCTCCCCTTTTCCAAACTTCCCTTCTCCTCTCTCTTCTTCTCCGCTCTCCCCTTCTCCGCACTCCCCTTCTCCTCTCTCTTCTTCTCCGCTCTCCCCCTCTCCCCTTCTCCCCTCCCCTTCTACTCTCTCCCCTTTTACTCTCTCCCCTTCTCCGCACTCCCCTTCTACTCTCTCCCCTTCCCCGCACTACTCTTCTCCGCACAATGAAACCCTCACAATAGACTGCGCTCGCCATAGTTTGCAAATAACTTCGGCAATTTCCTTTGCTACCTATTTAGCGTGCTAATTAGACTTGTCCATCCATCGATGTAATGGACTCATTATGAGATCTTAACGTTCTCAGGTCTAGTCCGGACATTCTAGGGGGGGAATTAAAACGCACGCGGGTCACGAAGGGGACGCCCGTAATTTCTCATGAAAGAGCCATCATCAGCCCTGCCATAATTACCCGCCATACAAAAGGAGCTCGGAAGATCTTCTGTTGGCTAATTTTTGTTTGTGAAGTAATGAGACAAGCGCGAGTCTAATCTGAACGCCGACCGGCGTGGTAGCTGTCCCCTGAACTGCGTGTAGACTGCGAATCGTTAATGGACAACGCTAATAGCTTTTTCAGGCCATTGTATAAATGAATTGCCCAGAAGGGCATTTTCTATGGCAAATTTTGGCATGGTAATGAATTGTACAATAAAGGGGTATTCTAGGGTATGCTTTCTTGCTTTAAAAAATGCCAGTGATACATGTCCAGTATACGTATGACAGTAGCCAAAGGAAACCTTTGACAGCCGGGTCCCATCGTGTCGCTCAAGAGTGGCTGCCCTGCCAGAGCTCCAGTCCATGCTATCCCATGGGATCCCCATAGAGCTCAGCCGTCAGTTTCACACCGAACCCAGCTCTATCTGAAGCCAATGTCAAAGTGACCGCTGAGCCCTGCTGATCACATTGGGGACACTGCTCAATGGGGGCGGTTATTGAGGCTGGCCATGTCCACAGGGCTCCAACCAAGGGCACACTTGGGATGCCGCGGTGCTAGTTCTGCCATTGCCATCAAGGAAGGGTTTGGACCTGTAACAGGTTACCATTGCTGTTGGTATCCATGCTGGGAATATTTGCCTCCTTTCTTGCTGAGTCTCTGAAAGGAAGTATCTTCAAAGCAAGTAGACATCCCACCTTTGATATCTGTCAACGGAACAGAAGTCCCAACTAGGCACCTTGGGTTTCAGTGAAAGCTGTCAACAGTTGGATTCCTTTTGCTAAAATAAGTATGTATCAAAAACTGTGGTGTTACACTTTAAGGCCCAGACTAGCAATGTGGGTTTCCATACTGTTTAAAGGCTGCGTTGTCATGCAGCAATGGTAGGTTGTTGGAGTATTGGGTGTTTGACCAGTGCCATTGAGCATCCATGAAAATCATGGTTACACAGTGGCACTAAACTCTTCTTAGGGGAGGGTGGGGTTTAAATAGAAAGATAGGGGGGACTTAATTGGTCAGAACTTTCCTGAACTCTCCTAATTTGAAAGGAACAAGGGCAGTGCCAATTTTCCTTAACTGCCCCATTAACGGGGGGTTGGGGAGCCCCTCCAGAGAAGCACTCCCCCTCTGCGCTCTCCCCTTCTCCACACTCCCCTTCTCCATTCTCCCCTTCTGCGCTCTCCCCTTCTCCGCACTCCCCTTCTCATCTCTCCCCCCCATGCGCTCTCCCCTTCTCCGCACTCCTCTCTCCCCTTCTCCGCACTCCCCTTCTCATCTCTTCCCCTCTGCGCTCTCCCCTTCTCCTCTCTCCCCTTCTCCTCTCTCCCCTTCTCCGCACTCCCCTTCTCATCTCTTCCCCTCTGCGCTCTCCCCTTCTCCTCTCTCCCCTTCTCCTCTCTCCCCTTCTCCGCACTCCCCTTCTCATCTCTTCCCCTCTGCGCTCTCCCCTTCTCCTCTCTCCCCTTCTCCTCTCTCCCCTTCTCCGCACTCCCCTTCTCCGCACTCCCCTTCTCCCAGACATGTCTGCAGCTGAACTTGTAGGCAAATGTCACCTTTTCCTATAAAAGTTGAGCTTGCCTGTTCCCATTCTCCCCTTCAAAGCCATTCCGTTGGTCTTTTAATGAGATAGAAGGCAAAATGGGAGGAGTCCAATGTGTGACTTTACAGGAAAAGTCATGATTAGCATACCATTTATGCTGCTTCTAGATCATTTGGTCATGGTGTATGCACTGACGGGAATACCTGCGTATATATTTTGCATCCTATTCTCATTTGGAAATACTCAGGTTTACTTGTTATACAACAAATGGAATAGTTATGAATAGAATCCAAGTGTTGTCTAAAACATATGAAGTCATAATCTATATCGGCTCTCACCTGGCTTCTGAACCAAGAGAAGCATATTAAAGGTTTTTGACGTTCCAGATGTTTTCCTATGCAAACTTTGAGAGTTTCTCCTTCTGAACAGCTGCATGCAGTGGGAAGTCATCTGTTTCCACTGTCCTCATCTCCTGCTCATCGCAAACCATTCCAACACGTCCTTCAGGAATTGGCCACTTGAAATATTCACTTTGCAGTCGAGAGATAATGTCGAAAGCCTCTTGGGGTTACATAGTTTGTGTTTCGAGGTTGTAGGGTCATTTTTGCCTTTTTACCGCTGTTTAAATATAAAACATTACCAGCGGCGTCAATAAGAATAAAGTGAACCTTTCAGTAACTTTACAAGTCTGCTCGAACAGATTCCTGACACGTCTCAATATAGGAAAACAGGTTCACGCTTCCAAAAAATCTTCTTCTTATTAAATATATATATTATTATTATTATTAAAAGCAATCCATGAGCTCCAGTCCAGGTAGTTTGCCTAGGCTGAGATGATGTCACCATAGATGATGCTATAGGTGGGTAGAAGTGTTGGTGGACCCAAATCTGGAGGTAGTCCCTATTTTAGAACCAGAGGCAGCTCTTTGTAAGCCAAAGTGACCCGAAGAGTCCATGGAATGTGAGCAGTGGTTGAGAAAAGAGAATGCCACAAGTCTTGGGTCTAGTAAAAGTCCAGGAAGTCATAAAAGTAACCAAGTGTTTGGTGGGCTCAGCGGTTGTTCTTCATCAGAGTGTGTGGTGGTGAGAGACCTTGAATGACACGGGACCAGGGAGGACTGCATGGGAAGATTGCTAATTGTGCAAGTAAAGTCAAGTTTGGGTTCGGGTCGAAGAGGCAAGAACAAGCACCAGGATTTATATGATTATGTCATCTCTAAGTGGACATCCCAGTCCAGGAAGTAGATGGTGACCATGGATGATTGTCATGGGAAGTACTGTGTTCCCAATGGTGCTTGGTTCACTTTTAACGGGTATTCCTCTTAAAACCACCTAACATCTCATGTACTATAACTGGAGCACTCCCCAGGTGGAGGCAGCACCCATCTTCTCTTCTCCACATGCATTGTGTGGTTGCTTCTACTGGGCAAGTAAAGGTCACCTGTCACCTTGTCACGTGGGTTTTCAATGGGCTTTGATCAAGACTACAAGTTAGGTCTTACATCTACTTTATATTTTGGCAGCCCAGCTTTACACAGTTTCCATTTTTTCCTATTAGATGTTAATGAGTGTGAGACCGCAAACGGAGGATGTGAAGTGCAGTGCTGCAATACCATCGGAAGTTTCTACTGCAAGTGTCCAGAGGGCCAAACGCTGAAGGAGGATGGCAAAAGCTGTCAAGGTAAGAGGTGTGGTGGCTTAAAGAGCAACTCCACCTAGTAGTTGAAAGTTGTATCGCTTGCTTTCTGTTCCTCTGAGACTTCGGTAGTGAGCTCTATCTGCTCTAATTACTCTCCACTCCATCCATGAAACATGAACACAGTTTTGTGTGAAGGAACTCATATGGCCTGCAGAGAGACCTGACCTTAACCCTACTGAACACCTTCAGGATGAAATGGAACGCCAATTATGAGGCCGATCTCCTCCAATTCTAGGACAGGTCTCCTCCAATTCTAGGACAGATCTCCTCCAATTATGAGACAGATCTCCTCCAATTATAGGACAAATCTCCTCCCATTATAGGACAGATCTCCTCCCATTATAGGACAGATCTCCTCCAATTATAGGACAGATCCCCTCCAGTTATGAGACCGATCTCCTCCAATTATAGGACAGATCTCCTCCAGTTATGAGACCGATCTCCTCCAATTATAGGACAGATCTCCTCCAGTTATAGGACAGATTTCCTCCAGTTATAGGACAGATCTCCTCCAGTTATGAGACAGATCTTCTCCTCCAGCATCACTACCCAACCTCTCAAGACTTGAAGCTCTTGTGTCTGAATGGACACACATTTCCACAGTCAGACTCCAAAATCTTGTGAAGCCTTTCCAGAGTGGAGGCCGTATGCCATGGTTTTGGAATGGCATGTCCAGCAAATGTTTGGCCATGTACAGTGTGTATGTGTATGTGTATATTGTTTTCTTTGTCATATCAGGTAGCCAATTTGATACAAAAGTTCTTTAGCAACAGGGACCCCCAACCTCAAATGCATACTGTACCATATGTACATTTTCCACTTCTGGAGAAAACGTCAGCCCCCCGCCCCCTCATTATTGCAGTGCAAAGTGTGCACCTTGCTGTAGTTCCTAGTGGTGTGCTTGGAATGGCATGATATGTGGTTGGGGTGTCAGCAATCTCCACCCTCTTAAGATCTGAGATTTGTATATAGAACGCACATTAGTTGGGTTTTCTCTGCTTCACATGTAGAACGTTAGGCCGGTATCTGTGTTCATTTGAAGGTATTCTAATTCCAAAATATTGCACTATGTTGCCATGACAGGTTCACTTTTGTGTACCAGGTGCCCATTAGTGGCAGATTAGACACTGTAGGATGTAATCACAATCTTCCCGTCAGCCAGACAATACGAGGAGATGGTTGCATGCAAACTTCATGTCTGTAGACCATGGAGACAAAGTCCCGTGTAAATAAAACATTTGGGAATGAAATTCTATTATGTCTCTGATCAGACATGTCAGGGCGGCGGCCATTGTGGCTGTGCTGTCATTGCCCCATTCCTGTCATTACTGCACCCAAAGTAAACTGTGCCGTGTGTGCGGAGCCTCTGCACAGACATTCCTGACATTGCTCTGCTGGTCTTTATCATCACAAATGTTTGTATCCAGGAAGAGAAGATGAACACGAGGGACCTGGAACTCCATTGTTCCTATAAATCTGTCACCAGCGTCCTTAAGATTCCAAAACTTAAAGGGGATGTACAGTATGCAGATTATTCTTTCTTTCTAACTTCTTGTAATCTTTCTTTCTTTCTTTCTTTCTTCCTCTCTCCCTCCCTTCATCCCCCTTTCTTTCCTTCCTTCCCTCCCTTCTTCCTTCCCTTCTTCCTTCCTTCCCTTCTTTCTTCCTTCCCTTCTTCCTTCCTTCCCTTCTTCCATTTCCTCTCTTCATCCTTAACTTATTTACTTTCTCTCTTCCTCTCTAACTTCTTTCTTTCTTCCTCTCTCCCTCTCTTCATCCCCCTTTCTTTTCTTCCTACCTTCCCCCTCCCTTCTTCCTTCCTTCCTTCCTCCATTTCCTCTCTTCATCCTTAACTTAACATTGTTACTAATGGGATACAATGTATCTATTTACTATAATCTTCATCGCCATCTTGTGGCCATAATGTGGTATTCATTCTGCTCACTCTGTTCTTACATTGTGAGATCAATCGCTTCTCCTCTCCATCTCGTCCAATCAGAGAACGCTGCGAAAAAAAATACAAGGCGTTCTCTGAAAGGTGGCGGTGCCTAACGAGCGGCTACCTGTGCCTGGTGTACAGAGGGGAAGCTGCTGTCTCCATACTGCTGGAGTTCCTCTTTCAGACAGGGCCGGATTTACTCTCTCTGCTGCCCCAAGGCCAGGTTCCTCAATGCGCCCCCCTACTCGCCAAACCCCCCCCCCCCCATGGAGAATGGCGGACCTGCAGGCTGCATGCAAGTGATCGCTGCTGTACCCCGCTTAGCTTGGCTTGCCCAAAGCAGGGCTAAATGTAGACAACCACCCACCCAGCACCCAGAACTGCATGTCCTGGGCATCAGGAGATAAGAATTCCACAACCCTGCTGCCCCTCTACTCCCTGCTGCTCCTCTACTCCCTGCTGCCCCTCTACTCCCTGCTGCCTCTCTACTCCCTGCTACATCCTTCTGCCTCTCTACTCCCTGCTGCCCCTCTACTCCATGCTGTCTCTCTACTCCCTGCTGCCCCTCTACTCCATGCTGCCTCTCTACTCCCTGCTGCCCCTCTACTCCCTGCTGCCCCGAGGCCGGGCCTTGCTTGGCCTTGTGGGAAGTCCGGCCCTGCTTTCAGATCTTCTCACCTGCAGCATGCTGAGGACACGTGGTGGCCACGCTCGGGGAACACACATCCAATCCATGCGCATGCACCTGTAAGCACTGGGAGCGATGGAAGCTGACCTCTCCCCGGAATTATTTTCTCGGCTTGTTTTGGATATAAATAGTCACAAGCAAAAAAATATTTGGACTTTACACCTCCCCCGGGGGCCCGGCAGCATCCGTGACTAACCGATTCCGGGCCTGGGAGGTGAGCAGTAAATGGCGGCGATCCCACATGTGGCCGGTGAATGTGCAGCAGCCCCATAACTCACCTCCGCGTTGCTGGAACAAGTCACGGCGGTTTCACACGGCGACACATTTCTGGGAGGTAATTACGCTGCGCACATTCCTGCCGAGAGAACCGCCCACCCCGTGCCGGAATGCCACCCACAGTCTGTACCCGGGCCCTGGAATTCTAGTGGCATCCCAACGTCACCCATTCCTATGGCACCAGACTGATAGAAGAACTGCTACAAATATATATATTTATTTATTTCATCTTATTCTTTGTATTTGTTTTTTTTCCTTTTTTATGTTTTTGATTTTATTATAGTTTTTTTTCCCTCTTTATTTATTTAGAGGGTGTTTATATTTAGTTTATCATATTAGATATTCTCTGTATTTGTCTTTTGTTTCCTTTTTTATGTATTTCCTTTTTTATGTTATGTTTTTATGTTTAATTTATTTTTTCTTCATTTACACTGTTTATTTTTTTCATTTATCTCATTAGGTTTTCTTTGTATTTCTGTTTTTTCCCCTTTTTTATGTATTTGATTTTTTTATTTTAGGTTTTTCTTTTCTTTTTTTAGGGTTTTTATGTATTTACTTTATTTTAGTATGTATTAGTCACGTATTTCGTTTATTTTATTAGGTTTTCCTTGTATTTGTATTTTTTATTATGTTTTTATTTCTCTTTTCTTTATTTGGAGGGTGTTTATGTATTTCGTTTATCTCATTAGGTTTTCTTTGTGTTTTTTCCTTTTGTTATGTATTTGATTTTTTTCTTTATTTTGGGTTTTTTTTGGTCTTTTTTTCCACCTGTGGACAAGTGTATAAATATATTGAGGAAGCGAGGAGACCCGATAACAGGTTCAGGGAAGGTGGAAGGAGCTTCTGTAACTCATTGGATTTCACTTCTTTCAATCATGGAGGCTCAGCGTCACATGTGGGTGGTGCATGCAAATACAGCCTGCCCACTGCTTGAATCAGGGATGAAGGCTCTTGAGAGGAGTACTGAGGCAGGGTGCTGTGATGTGTTCAGTAAACTATGTACAGCACCCCTATCATTGGTCAGCGCGGTCAGAAGCACCTCTCATTGGTCAGCTCAGTCAGAAGCACTTCTCATTGGTCAGCTCAGTCAGAAGCACTTCTCATTGGTCAGCACGGTCAGAAGCACTTCTCATTGGTCAGCGCGATCAGAAGCACTTCTCATTGGTCAGTGCGGTCAAAGAGCTCGCCGTCTCCCCGGGAACATGAGACGCATTACGTGGCTGTGCTGTGTGCTGCTGGTCGGATGCAGGGGCCCCGCGGGGGCCACATTCACCGGATCCCGATTCTATCGCACCAACTGCTACCCGTGCTACCTGCGGGGCCAGGGGCCCGCCGCCCGTCAGGGGCGACAAGGTAGGTGCTCGTCATTCAGGATCCACTGCAGTGGAAAACGCACGTACTGGTCCTCATGATGCGTTGCGTCACAAGGCGCATTTCAATCCGCGCCATGTCGCCGTTTCCCGTCTGGAAATACGGACGCGCGGCGGATTAAAACAAACTTTGCGTTTTCCATGCGTCGCCGTTCACAGTAATCTACTGCAGGAAGCTGGCGCAACGCACTTCGCAGGTTATGAAGGTAACTAGTGTTCGCGCGTTTCGAGCGCGCTGTCGTACTGCGTAATTGTACGTCTGATAGTAACGTGTAGTGGCCGTCACACACCTTACAATCTGACTCTACAACTTAGTAGTATGAGGACCTGCCGAGTCTATCCCATCACTTTGTATCCAATCAGGCCGGCTCTTACGTGTTGGAAGGTCTAAAGGAGATTGTATGATCAGATTGTATCATGGGTGGTGAGCTTTAGGCTGAGCATATACTGTACAATCTCCTTTAGACCTTCCAACGAGTAGGAGCCGGCCTGATTGGATACAAAGTGATGGGATAGACTCGGCAGGTCCTCATACTACATGCATTTGGTAAATGTAAAGTTGATTGTACAGAGATTGTATGGTCAGATTGTAACGTTTGTGATGACCATATTAGCAATTTTGCAATCAGATTGTATGATGTACGGCCAGCCTATAGTAGCTTGTACAATCAGATTGTATGATGTACGGCCAGCCTATAGGAGCTTGTAC